AAGACGGCCCAAGAGGCCTCCAAGAGGGCTCCAAGACGGCCCCAAAACGGCCCAAGAAGCGTCCAAGACGGCCCAAGAGAGCCCCAAGACTGCCCCAAGATGGGCCTAAGAAGGGGAACGCGACCCGACAATTCGAGCCTTCCGCCCCAAGAAGCCCCCAGGAGGCCCCAAAAGGCCTCCAAGAGGCCCGAAGAGGCGCCCAAGAGTCCCGAAGACGCCGCCAAAAAGCCCAAACAAGAGGCCCCACGAGGCGCCCACATGGCCCTAAGGACGCTTCAAAACTATCTCTGAGAGACCTCCCACGATATCCCAACGAGCATCCAAGAGGCATCTAACCCACAAGCCAGGCACGGTGGCGTGATGGGCCGAAGGCCACAAGAGATCCGCCGCCCCCTGTTGGCTCGCCACAGGGGTGCCCGGCGTGCCAAATCCTTTCGAGTTTGGTTTTGTTGTTTCCAAAAAAAAAACCCTGGGCCTTCGGCCCGTCCCGCCGGCCACCCGGACGGGCGCGCAGAGATGCGTAACAGGTGGTTGCAAGGCTCCAAGATGGCTTCCAAGATGGCCAAGATGGCCCAAGATGGCCTCCAAGTTCGCCCCAGATGGTCCAAGATGGCCTCGAAGACGGCCCAAGACAGTCCAGGATGCTTCCAAGCTCGCACAAGAAACACCTAAGACGGCCCAAGCCGGCCCTAGAGGCCTCCAAGAAGCCTCCAAGACGGCCCGAGAGGCCTCGAAGAGATCCTCCAGGTTCCTCAAGTACACCCCGAAGAGGGTCAAATCATTGATTTTTCATCGGTTTTTGAAGGATTGGTTGTGGCTGTTGCTCCGTTTCGGATTCCAACGGCCCAAGACGGCCCAAGAGGCCATCAAGATCGCCAAAAGAGTGCCCAAAAAGCATCCATGACGGCCCCAGGACGGCCCAAGAGGCCCCCAAAACGGCCCCAAAAAGGCCCCAAGACGGCTCAAGAGCCCCAAGATGGCCCCAAGAAGGCCGTAAGATAGCCCAAGAGGCGCCCAAGAAGGCCTCAGATGGCCTCCGAGACCGCCAAGACGGCCTCCAAAATGCGTCCCAAACGGCCAAGATGGCCTCCAAGACTGCCAGGATGGCCTCCAAGACGGCCAAGATGGCCTCAAGATGCACCCAAAACGGCCCAAGATGGCCTCATGATGGCCGAAGACTGCCCAGAAGGTCCACAAGAGGCCTCCAAGACAGCCCAGGAGCCCTCCAAGACGTCCTCCAGGAAGGCCCGACAAGGTTACAATCATAGTTTGTCCTTAGGTGTTTGATGCTGCTTTTCTGAACTCGCGGAGAGTTTGCTTCTGTTGCGACACCAGGCTCGAGGCTGCCGCTACTGCTGTGAAAACAGCTGGCACGGACTAGAGCCACGAGACTCTCGTTGCGACCAGGAATCGATTCAAAACGCACCCTGTGAGGTGAAAGAGGGCGGGGCAGGGAGGGAAGCTCGAGCAAGGGCGGTTGCGGGCAAGTGAAAGGCAAGGCCCGCAAGACACGACAGACGTTACGACTAAAGTCACAGCAATATCGTGGTACCCACAAACATGTTGCTTTTCTGAACTCGCAGAGAACTTGCTTCTGTTGCGACACCAGGCTCGAGGCTGCCGCTACTGCCGTGAAAACAGCTGGCACGGACTAGAGAGACGAGACTCTCGTGGCGACCAAGAATCAATTCAAAACGCACCCCGAATCGAGCGCCGGGTCTAGGCCCGAATCGGTAGTTCACAGCGCAGCGGAATCAACCTCATCGTCTCTCTCCGCAGGGCGGACGCGGATAGCAGGGCACGGGCAATCGCGGAGGCGAGAGCACGAGGATACGCGGCCGAAGCGGCGGTAGCTCGAGAACCCTCGACAATGACATGTTTTCGGCCTGTCGCGGAACAAAACCCGTGCTTTCCCGCGCATCGACTTTCCGACGGGCAGCCCAAAGGACCGAAATCCAGCTCGTCACCACAACCAAACGCCAGTCGCGTAGCTTTGCGGTGTTGTGACCCGAACTGGCACTGGTGAGCGTCGCAGATTTTCACACGTGCGGACTTAAGAACTTCGCACAGACGCATATCGTGCCACATGTAACTGGACTGCGGATGCTCGATACAGAAGGGAACGCGTGCACGCAGACAAGCTCGCACTATCCTAATCACTAAATCAAGAAAAAGACTCCCTAGCCTCATCTTTGCCTTTCGATCACTCGGAAGCCTGGTCCTCTGGGGCACTGCTTGCTGCGGCTCGGACAAGAAGAACTCTGAGCGACTGAAAAAGATGTGCACGGCGGCGCCAACATTACGGCTAGCGCCTCCTGTTGCCGCAGGCTTCGCAGCACTCTGGCCTGGATGCAACTTCTCAAGAGGCCCCCTGCCGGACCACCGCGGAGGTCGTACTCGCGCGTCTGGAAACGCCACTGTCGAGCAGCGCGCGCCGCGCCGCCGACCCCCGAGAGGAGGTTCAACAAATGCCTTCTGGGGCCCACGGGCGCGGGCGCACTGGCAGCGGCGCCCCGCGTGGGAACGCGTCTTCCAGGCGCCCCTCGCAGTCGAGGGCGAACGCCTGCGCGTCGGGGTCCCATCTCCCTCGCGCCTCGGTCAGGCGTCCTGTTTTCTCGCGGCGCACGGTCGAGCGAAATGATGACCACCTCCGGCTCTTCATGGCCTCTTCCTGGGGCCAAAAACGGAAGGCACGGTCGAGGCTGATCCCGCCGTGCCCCGCCTGATGGGCCACCGCGGGGATCAGCGCCTGATGTCCTGCTCCTCGCACCGGTCGACCGCGCTGCTGGTGGCCCCGCGGGAACAGCCTCTCCGCAGACGAGCCTCTGGCCAGGTGCGCAAACACTGGGCCCACCCAGCGCATCTTCTCGGAGTTCATCACCAGCTTTACCGCCAGAGCGGCCCACGCGCTCCAAAGCAGCGGCCGCCGACCGAAATTCGGGCAGAGCATCCTCCACCTTCTGAGGCCCTGAAGAGGCCGTGGCGCGCGCCGGCCCCCATCCCGCTCGGAATTCGGGAAGGCGAACACCAGGGCGGCCACCGTGCACTCGCCTCGCTCCGCGCGGTCCCCGAGCCGACTCCTCGAGTTCATCCGCGCCACGAGACACTCGCCTACCTCGCCGTCCTCGCGAAGCGCCATGCTCTCCCGGTCGGCGAAGTCCAGGAGCTCTTGCTCGCACGACCGACACCGGACTCGGCCGGCCTCCGACACGCCCGCCGCCTTCAGGTAGCTCTGGCCAAGAAGCATCGTCGTCTTCCTCTCGGCCACTCGCGCCACCCGCCGCTGCGCCCGCTGCCGCGCCAGCCGCCCCTCCTTGCGGTCCGCCTCGGTCGCCGCCTCCTCGGACGCGAAGTCGCCCTCGTCGTCTCCGACGGTCGAGCCGGCGTCTACGGCCCGCGCCGGCAGCCTTGCCTCCGCCGCCAGCGAGCTCCAGCGCCGGCGCCTCCGGCAGCTACTGCAGGCACGTCGCCCTCGCCGCGGTCAGCGTCCGGGCGCGCCTCGGGCTTCGGCTCCGCGCCCACCCCTGCCTCTCGCCAGCAGCCGCCAGCGTCCGCGATCGCCCGACCGCGCCCCGCTCCACTCCTGGCGCGGGCACCGCCAGTATTCTCTCCCGCCTCGCCTGGACCATGCGATCCAGGTCTTGGAGCCATACGGCCGACGGAAGGCTGTCTGGGCTGTCTCGCTGTAGGGCTCGGCCCCCCGCCCCTAGCTTCTGTCTCCTGCCTTTCCTCACACCTCCTCTCTGCTCGCTGCTCTCGATCCTCTTCGCCTCCTCGCTCTCGCTGGTCATCACCTTCTCGCTCTCCTTGCTCCTGCTCGTGCGCCTCTGATGGTAGCTCTCTGTATCCAAATTCTGCTTCAGTCTCTCGTCAGTCTCGCTCATGCTCTTGATCGTCTGACTCGCCAGCTTGATGCCCGTCTTGAGTCCGTACGTCGTCGTAGACCCCATCGACCTCTGAAGCGCCCAAGCTCTGGCCCCGACCCCCTTTTATCATCGCGTGGCCCTGGGGGGCGGGAGACGATCCAGGTGGCATCCTTCTTTTCATCGTAGTCTCTGTCAAACAATCGGCTTCCCTTGTCGCTGGTGTTCAGCTCCGAAGGCACCCAGCGGAAACCCAGTCGCAGGCCCCGCGCCCGCGCAAGAGAGCCAGCTCGCCGAATAAGGGTCAGCAGCTTGACGCCCCGTGATCGGGGCCTCCCCAGCGCCAGGGTCAGCGCCAGGTTATCTCCCACAAAACAAGGCTCGTGCGTCGTGACCGCGTCGGCTCCTGGCAAGGCGCTCGATCCCCTTCAGCACGGCCCGGGCCTCCAGGTGAATGACCCCCTCTTCGCGCCTCCACTCCACTTGTCCGCCATCACTGTGCTCCACCGCGATCCATGTAGCAAGTGGGCTGGCAACTCCGGGAACCCACTTCGCTTCCAAGAAAACCATGGCACCACAGAAGGCCTTCTCCTCCTTCACGCACAGCGGCGCCTTCTCGTAGCACAGCTTCTTCACCAACCTGTAGGCCCCGTGGGGGATGGACAGCAGCTCCCGCCTGATAAGGCCCACGAACGTCATATGCCCCACCAGGACCTCGAGCTCCTGCCCGCTGCAGACACCGCGCCGCAACACCTCCTGGATAGAGCCCCGCGCGCGCCAGAACCGTTTGGCCGTCGGCCGAGTCCGGCCCCGAGCTCCGCCCACCTCGATGCCCAAGACCACCCCGCACTCGCAGGCCACCTCCGTCTCGTGCACCGTCAGCCCTTCCGAAGGTCTCGGTCACCGCGGTCAGGCCCTTCCTCGCGTGCCCCTCGTCATCGGCCAACGCGCCTAAGTTGTCGACGTAGCAGTACTTGCCACGCCCGGCGTCGTCTCTTCCTCCCTGGAGCACCAGCGGCGGCCCACGATCCTGAAGCAGGTGCGCGCCCCTCAGCTCCTTGGTCAAATCCATCTGCCGGGCGTTGGCCTCCCGCGCAACGTAGGGGCTCCACGCCCAGCCCATGGGGAGGGACTGCGCGAGCGGGTACAACACCATGCCCCTCTCAACCCGCCGCCCTTCCCACCAGGCCAGCCCGAGCTCGGAGGCCCATGCCTCGGGGCAGGCTAAGTACTCGTCGAGCTTCGACTCCTTCGGGAACCTCAGCCTGTGGAAGGAAGCAGTCCTTCACGTCCGATGTCCCCAGGTAAACAGCTCCCACTTCGCCTCCATGTCGCCCCACCCGACTGAGACCTTCATCCGTCAGCAAGTTCACGCTCGGGGGCGATACAAACTGCTGGTTAGACGCCCGACAATCCAGGATGAGTCTCTGCTGCAAACCGCCCTTCTTCTTCACCACAAACACGCCCACGTCGCAATTCTTACTGGCACTGAGTCGTACCAGCCCTGTTCGTAAGAGCCTCTTGACCAACCCCACGTACACCTTCCGATTGGACTTCAGCACAGGGTCTGCGTAGGGCCGCACTGGGCCCGGCGTCTCGTCGAGGGCGGCCACCTCCTCCGGCGGCCTCAGCATGCAGCTCTCGTACTCCTTCAAAACATTCAACGCCGCATCCGGCAGCAGTCCATCCACTCGAGGTGCCCGCCTGACGTCCTCGGGGATGCTGAGCCGGTCGCGCACGAAGGAGGCCAGGTTAGCTCGGGCCTCGGCATAGGGGCCGTGATTCCGCATCAGCTGTGGAAGAGCCTGCTGCGACGAAGTCGCGCTGCTCGATCGCCGCCAGCCAGCCGCGGCCAGCTGCGCCCGCCGCTGCGCGCCCCGACGCAACCCAGCCAGCATATCGAAGGTCGCCAAGCGCGGCTGCGCGCAGCCAGCCTCTCGCCAGCGCGCGCCATGCATCCAATTCAAGCTCTCGATGGCGTCATTCGCGAGCCTCCTCACGCGCCGTTTCTCTCGCCTGGTCAGCACGAAGCCGATGTCGAGATCGAGCTGCTGCACCTCGGGCACCGGGAAGTACTCTCCTGCGCCGCCGGCCTCGTCTACTGCGTCTGGGGGCGGCCACGCCCCAGGCTCTCGCCCGTCGCTCATCCAGCCCCGCCAGGGGCGCCCGCGCCAGCGCCAGCTCCTGCTCCGGCCCTCGCTATGGCCGTCGCCTTGGCAGCTGCGCCCCCGGGGCCGCCCCTGGCGCCATCCTTGGCCCTGGGCGCCTCGCCCGGCGCCAGCGCCGCACCCGTCTCCTCAAGCTCCTTCCCTGCCCCGGCCGCGCGTCCTCGCGTGGCCGCCGCCTGCCTCTCAGCTTCGTCTCTGGCAGCTCGATTGGCGGAGGGCCGCGTCCCTGGGCCCACCACTTCGAAGAGGCCCACCACGCCCGTCAAGTACTGAGCGCTCTCCCAGGACCCCTCTCCCGGCGCAGGCCCACTCCGATAGGCTTCCTCCATCGCCACTGGCCGCCTCGCAATCGACCCCAGCGCGCTGCTCCCTCCTGGGTTCAGGCCGTCGTAGCTTTCCCCCGACCAAAAACCCTGCACCGAGGTCGTCAGCTCACGATGCGTTCGACCCCTCCCCTGGAATGACGCGCCCCCCCCCCCCCCCCGAACGTCGGGGGCCATGTCTTCGGATCGCCAGCAATCTGGACAGAGCGCCGACAGAGGACAAGACAGGTAGGTGCTTACACCGCGGAACTCGCAACTCTCGAAGCTCAACTGCGAGCTCTCGTCCACGGCCTTCCTCCACGACTCGAATCTCACGCCCTCAGCGGCCCTCTCCGCGCACGGCGTTCGGGCACCGCCCTCTACCTTGGCCTCCTGGGCTGGCGGCGTCGCCGTGCACCAGGCCCTCTCAGCCCCGTCGCCCGCCGCATCGGACTCCGCGCACAGGTCGCCGCGCCGGCCACCACCACCCCGCACAGCGCCAGGCTCGCCCTCGGGAAGGGCCAAGGAGGGCCGTACTCCGGCGTCGCCTCGATAGCAGCGCGTCGCCAGATCTCCACCGAATCGGCCGGCACCTTCTCGCTCTTCACGCCCCCGCCACTCTCCAGCTGCACCAGCGCTCGAGAGCCGCCGTGCCCGACAGCTCGACCTCCAAAGACGGGATCTCCTAGCTTCTCGCCGTGGGGCCCCCCAACCTCCGCGACCGCGAACACGTGATCGTCGAGCGCGCCTCCTGAGCCCGCTCCGAGGCCGCTCGCCCCAGCCGAGCCGCCAGCCAACACCAGAGCATCCTCCTCCAGGCTCTCCACCTCCACGCCGTCGTCCGCCGCGTCCGCGAGCGCAGCCCGCATCGCGGCCTCATCGCCACTCGCATCCGCAGCCCGCGGCTCCGAGCTCACGCCCTTGCTGGTATACCTCCGCCTGACGCGCCCAAACACGCTGTCCTCGACCACGGGCTCGCGCCTGTTCCAGTCCAGGAAGGCGACCGGCTCCTCGCCAAACCCTCCTTCCAAACGTTCTGGCAAGTCCCGCTTCTCTCGATGCTTCATCGCCTCATCGCGGCCCTCAGCCGCGCGCGCCAGCACCTCTCCCGCGGTCATCCACTCTCGGAGACGGACGACGCCTCCCCTCAGGTCGGCTGGCCAGTCCTCGGTCAGATCGCAGATCCACACCCAGTACTTCGCCCACTCAATGTACCGATCGTCGCCGGCAGTGAGCATCGCCCAACCCTCGAACCGAACGTCTTTCCCCGTCGGCCACAGCAACTGACTCGTGAGTGCACGTGTCTCCCTCGAACCGATCGAGCACCCGCCGCCCAGGGACACGTCCAGCAGGACTAGTCATGGCGCTGGACTCCTCGCGGCGGCCTGGCCTCTGATCGCCGACGCCCGCCGCTCCAGCCCAGCAGCCAGCCTCCCGCCGCCAACGCCGCCGCCGCCACAAGCGTCTGCTCCGACTCCGCCTCGTGGTCAGGCGGGTGCTCGCCACCACCGCGGCCACCTCGGCCGCCCCTAGGCTCGCCGGGCAGTCCCCAGGCCCAGGCGGGGGCGGCGGCGGGCACCCTGCGCAGCCAGGTCACGGCGGGCAGCTCGGGCGACGCGCCCGCGCCTCCTCGACCAGGAGCTGTCTCGCCGCCTCCGCGGCCGCACCCCGAATCGCCTCGCGAAGGAGCCCGCGGCCGCTGGCGCCAGGTCCCCTAGGACCATGCCGCCACCAAAAGCTTGAGCAAGGGCGGTTGCGGGCAAGTGAAAGGCAAGGCCCGCAAGACACGACAGACGTTACTGAAGTCACAGCAATATCGTGGCACCCACAAACAAGGATCTTGGTTGTTGCTCATTTTCGGCTCTCCGACGGTCCAAGACGGCCCAAGCGGCCCCCAACATCGACCCAAGAGCGCCCAAGAGGCCTCCAAGATGGTCCCATTACAACCCAAGAAGCCCCCAAGACGGCCCGAAGAAGGCCCCGAGACGGCCAAGAGGTCCCCAAGACGCCCAAGATGGCCTCCAAGACGGCCAAGATGGCCTCCAAGATGCCTCCAAGACGCCCAAAATGGCCGTCAAGACGGCCCCCAGATTGCCCGAAAATGCACCCAAGACGGCCCAAGATTGCCTCAAGATGGCCTAAGACGGCCCTATAGGCCCGCAAGAAGCCTCCAAGACGGCCCAAGAGCCCTCGAAGACGTCCTCCAGGAAGGCCCGAAAGGGCCAAAAATCATTCATGGTCCCATGGCTTCTGCAGGATTGGGGCATCTCTTATTTTCAGCTCTCCGACGGCCCAAGACGGCCCAAGAGGCCCCCAACATCGACCCAAGAGCGCCCAAGAGGCATCCAAGATGGCCTCATGACAGCCCAAGAGGCCAGACGCCCAAGATGGCCTCCAAGACGGCCACGATGGCCTCCAAGATGGCCTCCAAGACGCCCAAGACGGCCTCCAAGACGGCCAAGATGGCCCCATGCACCCAAGACGGCCCCAGATGGCCTGAAGATGGCCTTCGACTGCCCAAAAGGCCCGCCAGAGGCCTCCAAGACGGCCCAAGACCCCTCCAAGATGTCCTCCAGGAGACCCGAAAGCTCGGAAACCACCTGGTCCGATAGCTCGCCCGACTCGGTGTTCCCCGAAGGCTTTCGAAACCAACTCGGGGAACGCGTGGCCCGATAGCTTGGCCAAGCTCAAACCAAACTTTCGGCCACGCAGGCGCTTCCAAAAAGGCAGGGGGCGGCGGTGCTTCGCCTTAGGCGTCTTCGATCCGCCATCCCCTGTTGATTTACCACAGGGGTGCCCGGCGTGCTAGACTTCTTACGACTTGGTCTTGGTTCCTTCCCGAAAGAACTCTCCCCTGGGGCTTCGGCCCGTCCCGCCGGCCACCCGAAAGGACCACAAAACTGAAAATAATCCTCCAAGACGGCCCAAGATGGCCTCCAAGACGGCCAAGATAGCCTCCAAGTTCGACCAAGATGGTCCAAGATGGCCTCCAAGACGGCCCAAGAGGCTTCAAGATGCCGCCAAGTCCGCCCAAGAAGCCGCCAAGACGGTCGAAGAGGGCCCAAGAGGCGCCCAAGCGGCCTCCAAGACTGCCCAAGAGGCGTCTAAGACGTCCACCAGGGCCCGAAGAGGCCAAAAGCATTGGATTCTCCTGGGATTTTGAAGGATGTTGGCATGTGCTTCTTGTCGGCCTCCCGAAATCCCAGGACGGTCGAAGAGGCCCCTAAGATCGCCCCAAGATCGCCCACGAGGCCTCCAAAATGGCCCCAGGACGGCCCAAGAGGCCCCGAAGACGGCCCCGGGAGGGCCCCAAGACGGCCCAAGAGGCCTCGAAGACGCCCAAGATGGCCTCCAAGACGGCCCTGGAACAAAGTCGGCCCAGAGAGGCTCCCAAAACGGCTTCAGATGGCGTCAGACTGGCCAGGAACGCCCTAAGACGCCTAAAGAGGCCCCCGAGAAGCCCCCAAAGGCCCCCAAGAGGCCTAAGGAGGCCGCAAGATGCCTCCAAAAGGCTCCCAAGAAGCTCCCCGGGGGCCCCAGGAGTGCCTCCAGAGGCTCCCAAGATGCCACCTCCTCCTCCTCCTCCTCCTCCTCCTCCTCCTCCTCCTGATCGTCCCCGTCATCCTCCCCCAAGTGTTCCCCGAAGGGTTTCTACAACGGCTGGGGAAATACATGGCCTGGTAGCTTGGCAGAGCTCTTGCCATAACGTTCGGCCACATGGGCGATTCCAAAAGGCAGGGGGCGGCGGTGATTCGCCGTATGCGACTTCGATATATGTATGTAGATATGCATAAATACATACCTACCTGCCTGCCGACCTACCTACCTACGTACATACATATACACACATATAAACATATATATATATGTGTGTGTGTGCTCGAACCATCGCGCGCGCTTCGCGCGCGCACAACTTCCAGCTAAGGTCATGATCATCGTCATCATTGTCATCCTCATCCCCGCCATCTTCATCGTCATCGTCATGATCATGGTCACCTTCACCATCACCATCACAACACTCATCATCATCATCATCATCATCAGCATCATCATCATCATCATCATCATCATCATCATCAGCCTCATCATCATCATCATCATCATCATCATCATCATCATCACCATTATCATCAGCATCGTGATCACCACCACCATCATCGTCATCGTACTTTTCAGCATCAGCATCCGCATCATCAACATCTTGTTGGTCGTCGTCGGCGTCGCCGTCGGCATAGTCATCGTCATCATCATCAGCGTCATCGCCGTCATCATCCAGGGTCCACTGCAGTCCCCTTGCCCTCCTCCTCTTCCCGTTCTTCCTCTTCCCATCATCTTGTATTCATCCCTTTCCTCGTCGGCGTCTCCCTGAAAGGGATCCCTGTTCCTTCACCTCCTCCTCCTCCTCATCTTCTTCCTCCTCCTTCTCCTCCTCCTCCCTGTCTTCCCTGCTCTTCGGTGTGTCCCTCCTTGTGTTCCTTCACCTACGTCACCTCCTTCCCCCTCTCGAGCCCTGTTCATCCTGCGCTCCCCTTCCCTCCTCGTCCTCAGCATCCCTTCCCGAGACAGAGCATCAGAGAACAAGATAATCTTACAAGAACAATGTCCCTCCTCTTCCCCCTCCTCTTTCCCCTCTTCGTCCTCCTGATCGTCCTCCCCCTCCTCCTCCTCCTCCTCCTCCTCCTCTTCCTCCTCCTCCTCCTCCTCCTCCTCCTCCTCCTCCTCCTCCTCCTCCTCCTCCTCTCCCATCTCCTCCTCCTCTCCCACCTCCCCCTCCTCCTCCTCCTCCTCCTCCTCCTTGTCCTACTCCTCCTCCTCCGTGTCCTACTCCTCCTCTCTTCTCTCAACGCACCCAATACCCGGGTGCCTACTGGAACGCGTGCCCCTTTTTGGAAACATTGTGGCAGTCTATGGAGCTTCTCTGGGCCTTCCTTTGGAGTCCTTTGGGGCCTTTGTTGGTCCGTCTGAGGACCCATTTCGGCCGTTCTGGGTCCCTCTTGGCTCGTCGTGGGGAGCTCAGCACGCCTTGGGGCCCTCCTGGGGCCCTCTCCGACCATGTAGGGATCCTCTGGTGGCCCCCCTCGGGCTTCCCAGGGGCTCTCTTGGGCCGTCTTGTAGCTCTTCTGTGCCGCTTGAAGCTCTCTTCAGCCCATCTTGGAATCCTCTTTGGGGCCTCTGGGGCTCGTCTGGGGCCCATTTTGGTAACCTTTTGGGCCGTCACGTCCACTGGTAGAACTGAAAAGCGAAGCTCCCAGAACTATACGTTATTCCATGGGAAATGCTTGATGATTGCCTTTGGAGGGCCTTCTCAGCGGTCTCTTGGACAGTCGTGGGGGGATGATTTTGGGCCTTTGCTGGCCCGTCTGGAAGCCCTTCTCGGTTGTCCCAAGCCCCTCTTGGCAAGTCATGGGTAGCTGAGCCGGCTTGGGGTCCTCAGCCCCAAGACGGCTGCAATATCGAGAGCAATATCACATGCGGCTCCGATCATGTAAGCGTAGGTAGGATCGGTCAATAGTTGCGGCTTCGATCCTCCTTCGGAGCCGCATAGTCGTCGTTGCTGCTGTTAGAGTGCTATGCTGGGTAATATTGTGTGTACGTGAGTGTGTGTGTGTGGTGTGTGTTGCGGGTGTGTGTGTAAGTGTGTGTGTAAGTGTGTAAGTGTGTGTGTGTGTGTGTTGCGTGTGCGTGTGTGTTGCGTGTGCATGTGGGGGTGCGTGTGCGTGTGCGTGTGCGTGTGTGTGTGTGTGTGTGTGTGTATGTGTGCGCGCGTGCGTGCGTGCGTGCGTGCGTGCGTGCGTGCGTGCGTGCGTGCGTGCGTGCGTGCGTGCGTGCGTGCGTGCGTGCGTGCGTGCGTGTGTGTGTGTGTGTGTGTGTGTGTGTGTGTGTGCGTGCGTGCGTGCGTGCGTGCGTGCGTGCGTGCGTGCGTGCGTGCGTGCGTGCGTGCGTGCGTGCGTGCGTGCGTGCGTGCGTGCGTGTGTTTTTTGGAGGGAGAAGATGGGAGCGGACCGCATACCGAAGGGACAGCGTCCGAAACACGGATGAAACGAACACACCCCTGCCCCCAAGACAATTGAAGCCACCGAGGCTTCCAGACCACACTTATCAGACCCGAACGCGAAGCGCTGCTATGTCAAATGTGGGAAGGGGGTCGCACAGGACCGAAACGAGTGAATATACACATCCAAAACGGAAGAACAGCCAGCATCGCACGGATAACTGGCGGAGATGACAATAGTATATGAACAGCGAAGACAAAACGACGAATCGCGACGCCACGCTACTCGCACCCGGCCCGTAGCAGGCGCGCAGGCACTGGGATGCTCTATGCGAGACTGCATCGAGCCCAGCACCCCCCAAGGGCACCAGCAGGCCAGGCCCCCAGGCACCCTCAGGCAGGGACTGGACAGCCACACAGGCCCAGACCTCCCAAGGGAGGAGCAGCCGCTTGCACACTGCCATCGCACGGACAAGAAGCTGCTCCCACTGCCATCGCACGGATAAGCAGTCCAACCAGCCTCCGAACACACAAGTAACAAGATGCCCACGTGCGAGAGACCAGACATCTAGCAGAACGGATGGGGGCCTTTGGCTGGCCAGGCTCTGCCGTCGCCAGCGCTGCCGCTGCCGTCTGCCGTTCGCTGGCCAGGCTCAGCCGTGGCAGCGCTGCCGCTGCCGTCTGCCTTGCGCTGGGCTGAGCTCCGCCACGCCGCCGCTGCCGTCTGCCCTGCGCCGGGCCAGGCTCAGCCTCTGGCGGCCCTGGCCGAGCCGCCGGGGCCAGCGCCGAGCACCGCGCCTCGGCCTGCACGGCCACCTGCGCTCTCGCACGGTTCAGCTCCTGGGCCAGGAGCGCCACCGCATTGTCGCGCGCCCGCAGCTGCTCCTGGAGGTCGGCGACCCCGCCCTGGTGCTACACCCGGCACGTCGCGAGCTCCTGTCGCGAGCTCCTGCGCGAGCTCGAGGCGGGCGCCCGCCTCCTCAGCCGTGGCGGCCTGGTCCGTCTCGAGCTGCTGCTGGAGGCTGGCGAACTCCCGCGCATGCCCCGCGCATCCAGCCTCTGCCATCGCCTCCACATTCCCCCGCGCCGCCTGCTCTTGGGCCATCTCCAGGCGGACCTGCTGGAGCTCGACGGCGATCGCGTCGGCTTCGGCCGCCTTGCGCTCGGCCAGCGCCAAAGCCTCGGCCTTTTCCGCCAACGCCACCTCGTGCATCGAGGGCTTCGCTACCGACGCGCCCTCCTCAGGCTCGACCTCCTGCAGGCGCCCCACCTGGTGCGTCTGCCGACCGTTGAGCCGTCGCCCTCCCCGCTGGCGCCGCCTGGCAGCGCCAGGAGTGAGGCCGAGTACGGACTGGTCGTAGCCGTGCATGGCCACGTTCCGCAGCACGACGTCGTCGCCGCTGCACTCCGCCGTGCTGGCCGCGTCCGAGCCCGCCGAGACCTTGGCCCTGACGATGGGCTCGGCGAGGCCCAAGCGCGCGGTGACCTCCACGTCGAGCGCCGCGGGCTTGCCCTGCTGCTCGCCGTGCGCGGCTAGCGCGTCAGCCCCCCACTGGGAGCCCCGTCTGCCGCCGCGCGGCACCACAGTGCCGAGGCCACGGCGGCTGCGACCTGCCTCGAGGCTCCCCCCTCGATTGCCGTTCGCAGCAAAGCCTCCGCCACCGCCGGGCCAGGGCTGCTCGGCTGCGTGGACCGCGCCATCCCTGCAACGCCCGCGCGGCCCAGGCGCGCGAGGCGCGGCACGGGCGCGGCGGCGAGCTCAGGGGGGCTGGCTGAGCCAGAATGGCTACGGATGTGTATATGTGTGTGTGTGCGCGCGTGCGTGCGTGCATGCGTGCGTGTGTATGTGTGTGCTGTGTGTTGCGTGTGTTGTGTGTGTATGTTGTGTGTTATGTGTTGTGTGTTGTGTGTGTTGTGTGTGTGTTGTGTGTGTTGTGTGTGTGTGTTGTGTGTTGTGTGTTGTGTGTGTGTTGTGTGTTGTGTAGTGTGTAGTGTGTAGTGTGTAGTGTGTGTGTGTGTATGTGTGTGTAGTGTGTAGTGTGTGTGAGTGTGTGTAAGTGTGTGTGTGCGTGCGTGTGTGCGTGTGTGTGTGTGTTTGTGTGTTTGTGTGTTTGTGTTTGTGTGCGTGTGGGAGTTTGTGTGTGTGCGTGTGAGCGTGCGTGCGCGCGTGCATGTGTGCGTGTGTGCGTGTGCGTGTGTGCGTGTGTGCGTGTGTGCGTGTGTGCGTGTGCGTGTGTGCGTGCGTGTGTGCGTGTGTGCGTGTGTGCGTGTGTGCGTGTGTGTGTGCGTGTGCGTGCGTGTGAGTGCGCGTGTGCGCGTGTGCGTGTGTGCGCGTGTGCGCGTGTGCGCGTGTGCGCGTGTGCGCGTGTGCGCGTGTGCGCGTGTGCGCGTGTGCGTGTGTGCGTGTGCGTGTGCGTGTGCGCGTGCGCGTGCGTGTGCGTGTGCGTGCGTGCGTGTGCGTCGTGCGCGTGCGCGTGCGCGTGCGCGTGCGTGTGCGTGTGCGTGCGCTTGGGCGTGTGGGCGTGCGTGCGTGCGTGCCTGGGTAATTAATCGTCCCGGCCACCCTGTGGTGTCGGGCACCCTTCTGAGTCAGCAACAGTCGCGGCTCCCTCCCCGCCCTCATCTCTCGTTGCGCTCCGTTTCGTTACGTTCGAGGTGGTGCCGCGGCCCTGCACGTCGGCGGGCGTGCCCGCTGCGTCCAAATGCCTTGCGGCGCTCGCGCCCTGCCGGCTCCAGGACCACAATGCGTCCAGCACTGTACGGGATGACATCGGCCTCCAGATTCGACTCCAGCATCCCGCTGATCAGCGCCAGGCCGCCGCTGACCGACATTCCCACACACGCTGATGCCGCCGCTGCAACTGAGCCCACGTCCCATCCCTGCCTCAGCCGTCCGCCTGTCCATTGTGGCACGCCCCTCACACGCTCACACGCTCGTGGCCAACACAAGGAGCCCGACAGAGACTCCCAGCGGGGGCGGGCGTACACCGCCCCCCCCCGCCCCGCAGCCCATGTCGGTACACTCCTCACACGCTTCGTGCCCCCATGGGAGGCTCCGCCGAAGCCCCCCAGTGGGGGGGGGTATACCGTCCCCTCGCCAATTTCGGCACACTCTTTAGACGCTTCGTGGCCCCACAGGGAACTCCACCGAAGTCCCCAGTGGCTGCGTCCGTATGCTTTCTCCACACCATGTCGGCACCCCTCACACGTTTCGTGGCCCCATGGGGAGCTCCACCTGAGGCCCTAATGGCTGCGTTCGCATGCTTTCTGCACACCGTTTCGGCGCATCCTCTCACGTTGCGTGACTCCATGTGGGAGCTCCACCGAAGGCCCCACTTTTAAGAGTCGCATGCGTGACCGCGCACATTTCGGCACACGCCTCACACGCTTCGTGGCCCCATAGGGAGCTCCACCGAAGGTCCCAATGGCTGCATTCGCGTGCCGTCTCCACATACTTCTGGCGCACCCCTCACACGCTTCGAGGCCCCACAAGGAGCTTCACCTAAAATTCCAATGGCTAGATTCGCATGCCTTCTCCACACCGCTTCGGCGCACCCCTCAAATGTTCCGTGCCCCCCCCCACCTGAAGTCCCAGTGACAGGGCCCGCATGCTTTCTCCACAATATCTTGGCACACCCCTCACACGCTTCGTGGCCCCACAAGGAGCTCCACCGAAGTCCCCACTTGCGAACATCGAATGCGTGACCGCGTCCATTTCGGCACACCCGTTATACGTTTCAAGGTGGCTCAAGCTCAAGCTCAAGCTCAAGCTCAAGGTGGCTCAAGCTCAAGGTGGCTCAAGCTCAAGCTCAAGCTCAAGCTCAAGGTGGCTCAAGCTCACACATCCATTTTGGCTCAAGCTCAAGGTGGCTCAAGAAATATGGCTCAAGGTGGCTCAAGACTCAAGGCACTCCACGAGGGTCCCACCTCCTCTCATCCTACCTCCCTTCACTCACTAACTACATCCGTTTGAACTCACCTATTACATCCTCTGTGGGCCTCGATGGCTTCTTCGGCTGCAGGTGGCGACGCGCGCACCCCAGGCACCCCTGTGCGGCATCTGTTCGAGGCACGACTGGATCGAGCAGGACCAAAACGACCGGAGCGACCCGAAGTACACACTCTGGCGACTCCACCACCAAGGAGCGCTCTCAAGCAGGCGCGATTGGGAAGTCCGACTACACCTATGGACCAAGATGCGGCACATCATCATGCAGATGGTGCACAACCCTGTGAATCCGATCGTCCGGGGGGCTCTTCCTCACCGGGGACAGGTGCGCTCAGTTTCGATGACGAAAATGACGATGATCTGGAAGATGGCCCGGTAACGATCAAGGCCATGCAGAAGATGTACAAAACACATCTTGCTCCTACCATGCGGATGGTCCGGACCCTCGGGCACGAATTCAAGCAATTCCAACTTCCGCGACTTCAAAACGACTATCGAAGCAGAGGTGGATGAACTCAACATCCAGGCTACCACTACGGCAGACGACTTGGCAGCAGTACGAACTAAAATGGCAAACATGCAGCTCGACCTACACAACGAAATTGCCGAACTCAAGGAAACGCTCAACAATACGCAGTCTACAACACCGAGATCAACAACATCAACTGCGCAGGCGAAGGACACGTCGACAGTCGTCTTGGGAGGACTTCCACAAGACTCTCTGGCTGATGCTGAACGCTGGGCTCAACAAGTACTTGCAGACACGCGCCTCGTCGCAACCAAAGCCTACAAAAAAAGACCACCTGACGAGAATTTCAAGGGCATCATGTTCCTACAGTTCGACAGGCCGGGCATGGTTCAGCAAGCCCAAACGCATCTTCAAGAGGCTGCCGCCAGTTCGCTCCAACCCAGAGCCGACAACAGCAGATCATGGAGCAATCTCGATGCCACGATTGAGGCACGTGTCGTCTCCTCCCTCCTGCTCGACTTGCGATACGTGCTGACACAATGGGGATTCGAAAAACACTACCTCAAAGTTGATTCGGACAACGGCACCATCAAAGCTGGGGGCAAGACCATCATGCGTGCGACGATTGAGGCGGAAACCTTGAATATTGTTTGGCTTGACGCGGATTGGGAAACCTGGGAAGAGTTTCAAGGCTCACCAGAATGGGCGGCAGTCCAAGAGAAAGCCAAAGATCGCCTTGCACAAAGCAGAGCTCGTGCGAGCAAGGGCGCCGGTGAAGGTAAGCTAAATTGACGGTGCCAGGGGCGCACGCCCAGAGTTTCACCTATTGTTTCACACAGTACTTGTAAATCGAATGACCGATATCTGGACGGGACGGGCAAAGATACCACCTGTCCTTCGGCGGAAGGGGGCAGGAAGGGCAAAGATACCACCGTCCCCTCTGACACGTCCTTCACAGATAATGCAATCAAACACGACCTCAACGTTGCTACTTGGAACGTGCGAGGTTTCACGGACGTCAAGCTCGTAGAGATCATGGTTCACATGCAGAGACGCGATATCGACATCTTATGCCTGCAAGAGACCCGGGCTACCAAGGCGGAAGAGTACGAAGACGAGAACAGTGGCTACTATATTATACTCTCTGGAGCGGACACCGACGAGCGATTATGGGCAGGAGTTGGATTCATTGTAGCGCTGGCCAGTGTTCGTAACATCAATGCCCACAAACAGATCTCAGACCTGATGGTTCAATTCAAGCTCCGTTTGGGCAAAGAGGGGTTCATAGTCTTTTGCGTTTACGCCCCACCTCTGGCCGCTTCTGGAGAGGGTGCAATTCTACAGCGACCTCGACAACCACTGCGGGGCATGCTCGGCCTACGCCAAGAAAATTGTCTTGGGCGATTTCAATGCCAGGATTGGCCGCGCGGACTGGGGAGAAGAAGACTTCTTTGGAGATTTTACTTGGGGCAGACGGGCCTTGAACCAGGTGGACACACCCAACAGGGACTTGCTCGTGGAATTCTGCATTGGGCGTTCCGTACTCGTTGCAAATACCTTTATTGATCAACCCGTACATGAGAAAGTAACCTTCATGGAAGCGGGTGCGGAGCCTACGGGAGACATTTCCGAAGACAAATACAATATCTTGGATCTCCTGCTGTGCGACGCTGCCACCCTCCATCGTATCCATGGACTGCGAAGCCACAGGGAAGCCGCTCTCGCAACAGACCACTATCTGGTTACGGTTACAGTGCAGCATGTCGACGAAGACCCGCCGCCAGTTCAACTACAGCGGAAGGACAAGGCCGTCCCCAGAGACCCGAGCTCAATCACTATTGGCTGAAGCTTTCTGGAAAACATTTGTTCCAATTCCCACATCGGCACTGCGGGGTTAGTGGACAATCTATGGGAAAACGGTGTAACTGCAGCGATCGCTGCAGAAGCGGCCCTCCCGTCCCTTGTTTCTGACAAAAGGAAGCCATGGACATCCCAGCGCACGTTGGATTTGATCGATCGGCGCAGTGCCGCGCGGAACCAACGAAATCGAATGGAAGAGAGGCGTCTTTTGAAGGAGGTGAGAAAATCAACTAAAGAAGATAAAACATATTGGATTGATTCTGTCATCGCTACCGGCAGCTAGGACACATTGCGAAAGGATTGCAAACCGAAGCCCCGGAAGCAAGGGCGGCTCAAAAATCAGGACGGGGTACTTGTTGAGAAGAGCACTGACCGGGCTAACGCAATGGCTGATTTCTTCGAGAAGGTTCAGTGGAAAGTCAGACCAGCGACACTAACCGACGAGCCCACACTTGGAGACCAACTGCCGGTGGACGAAGCGCCTTTTTCAACACGAGAGGTTGGTAAGACAGTGTACGCGCTGAAATGAAAGAAAGCAAGTGGTCCAGACGACATCCCTGCAGAATACTGGAAATCCATTGCTCAGATGCCAGGGGGGGTGCAGTGGCTCACAAATCTGTGTAACGCCTGTTGTGAAACAGGCACGGTACCAGAGAACTGGAAGGAGTCCAAAATCAGCGCCATCTACAAGAATAAGGGCACGATCGACAGTTGCGACAACTACCGGCCGATAAGTTTCTAATGTGTAGCTTACAAGTTATTGGCATCCCTATTGTTGCTTGGGCTCCAACGAGCAGGTGCGGAGGACCGTCTTACTTCAACGCAGTGCGGATTCAGACGTGGACGAGGCACATCAGATGAGATTCATATGGTTCGAAGGGCAATCGAGGCGGCCAGGGCGGCCAAAGATGGGAGGATTGCGTTCGTCGCACTGGACTGGAAGAAAGCATTCGACTCGATCAGCATGGACGCGATGATTGCCGCCTTGCGGAGGTACGGAGTTCCTCCAAAAATGCTTGTGCTCATCGCCAACATTTGCGACAATCGCCATTCTACGTATCTGACGGTCCCCGTGCATCCAGACAACGACGACAACGATCAGGAATAGCTCAAGGTTGCCCTCTCTCCCCATTCCTTTTTGTGATGGTCATGACAATATTGATGAGGGATGCGACGGACAAGCAGGGCAGGAAGCGAGAGCAGATATGGAGATTGGCAATTTGTCTATCTTATTGTACGCCGACGACACCCTATTGATAGGTTAATATCAACAGTACTTACAATAATTGTTGGATGGGAATGGAGCTACATTGGAACAAATTCCAATTGATCCAGATCGGATGCGAAGTTCACTTGCGAACTCCCGAAGGCCGCCTGATCCCTGCCCAAGACCACTTGTCATACCTAGGAGCAACCTTGTACAGCTCAGGTTGCGTCTCGAAAGAGTTGAACAAGCGGTTAGGGGCTGCATGGGCCGAGTTCGTCAAATACGAACGAGCCTGAAAGCACACAGCCGTCGGCAAGAGCAGAACAATCTAAATGTTTCAAGCTCTGATTACAAACAAAGTCTTGTATTCACTTTCCACTGCTTGGCTGAACCAATCCGAAAGAAGGAGGCTGGATGGATTCCAAGCCAAGTGCCTCAGACGAATTTTGCACATTCCACCTCCTTTCCTGTCACGCGTGTCAAATAAGGTCGTCCTGCAGGAGGCCCGGCAGGCCCCCTACAGCACCCAGCTTCTGCGACAACAGCTCGCGCTGTTTGGAAAAATAGGTAGGGCGTCGAACCACGATGTTCTTAGACAAGCCACGTTCCAGCCTGACACTGTTCTCCCAGCCACGGCCGCGCTCAAACGCAAGCGTGGTCGACCGAAGAGAGAATGGGCAACGGAGCTGCACAGAATGATCTCGTCCAGTTTCAATTCGCACGATCTGCTCCTACAGTGCATACATGACCCTGTGCAATGGGATGCTTTTGTGAAGCGCCACACACGTGCGTCGAGCCAGACGGGCATCTGTGACTTGTTGCTTTGTTCTCCGATCCCCCCCCTTCCCCTCCACTTCTTCCCCGTCCCCCTCCCCCCCGCCGGGCACGTTGTAAATTATGCGACCGACGACGCGCCGCCACTCCCGCTAAGCGGCGATAGCTGGCTGGCATTGTCCTCTTTCGCCCACGCGCTCCGGCGTATGGCATGAGTGTGTGAGTGTGTGTCATACGTTTCGTGACCGCATGGGGAGCTCCACCGAAACCCCAGTAGCAGGACTCGCATGCGTGACCTCGACCATGTCGGTACACTCCCCACACGTTTCGTGGCCGCAGAGGGTGCTTCTCTGAAAGCCCCGCCGCCTGCTGCTCCCAAAGGCCGCGCCGACAGACGCGCAGAGCAGCCGTAACGGGTTACATCCAGATGGAGCCCGTCACGGCCGACCCCTGCGACCCAATCAGCAACGTCGCCCCGTCCTCTTCACGCATGCCGTTTTCATTTTGCTAGCCTCCTCCCTGAGTTTCCACCTGCTACGCGGCACTCGCAGCTGCACATGGTCGGGTTCTTTGCCAGGCAAACCTTTTTGCGGAGGCCCTTCGGGGGGGGTAAGGCCGCTGTGCTTCTTGTCATGGTAGATTCACGCGGGGAAGAAAAGGAGGCGGATGATGAGGAGGATAGCTCCCACCACGAATTATCATGTAGCCTGTACGCCTGTACGCCCTGCATCGCGCACATGGGCCTGGACTCCGAAGCCAGCAACAAAAATTATGGGAACGACCCAGTGGCCAGACGCGAGGCGCAGTGGGCACATTGGCCCCTCGCCCAACACGACATGAAGCCCTGGGATAACACACGGAGCGTCAGCATTGCAGGTCAGGTCGACACATGTGGCCCACCCCCCACGGTAGTCAAATTCTCGTGTAAACCTGTCGGCGGAGGAGTAGCATTATGCTTACACTGGAACGCCCCTCCTGCGATCGTTCGAGGTCGTTTGTAGGACCTCGCTCGCCAGTGAGCCGGATCACACCTGCGGTGTCAAATGCACAGTCCTTTCGCGTATCCACCTTGAGATTGTCCGCATACACGGGCTGCAACTTTGTCGTCGCAGCTGCCAGTGGCCACAACCTCCCTTCAGTCACCAATGGCCAGGCTGGTCACGCTGATCGCCGAGGCATACTCACACATAAACCTGACTGGCCATCGACATTGTGCCCGACAAACTCGCCACGCTGCTCGTCGACTGGAGGAGCTCCAACATGCCCTCGTTCGAAAAGAGGGCCGAGTTCCGCTGCAGCGACTCCCCCGACTCCGCCACGGCCTGTGCCGCGTCCTCGTCGCCCTGCCAGTGAGCGCGCCTGCTCCTCCTGCTTCTCACTGCGACCATGCCCGCGACGCTACCTGGGCTCTGGTGTTGGTCTGGGGGGCCGAATAAACGGCTGGCTGTCTGGGTGGCCTCCATGGCTACCGGGGTCACCGCGGCCTTCTCCAAGCCTTCCAGCGCGCTGGGCATCCCGCTCTCCTCGGCCAGGTCCCCCCTGGGGCTCCAGTCGCGTGAGATCAACTCGTATATCTTCATTGGTTCGTCTTCACCTTCGATCCGCTCCGAGCCGACCTCCATGAAGCTGAAGCCGCTGTCGGGCGACAGCGCGTTCATCGTGCGCTCCGACACGAGGGTCTGCTTCTGGTACACCTTGCACGACGACTCTAAGTGATTTGCGATATCCACTCCAGGCCCCAAGACGCCGAATTTCTTCTTCATCTCGCTGCCCACGGTCCCGCTCGATACCAGCGCTGTGTGGATGCCTATCCGGATCCGAATGCGTGGCAAGTCTATGGAAGAAAATTCGTCGTTCAGGAGGTCCATGACCTTCTCCTGCATCAACACTGCCGCGGCGCACGCCAGCTCGGCCGGCTTCTCCACGTCATCGGGCGCGTTCCAATAGATTAGCAGCCCATCTCCCAGAATCTCTGCGACCACACCTTTGTACATCTGCACGACACGCTGCATCACGGAGAGGTAGCGCGTGAGCATGAAGAGCAGCTCCAAGTGGCCCAACGCTTCTGATCCGCCACTGTGCTTGCACAATAAAGGCGTATCTGAGTTGTCAAACGAATCTTGGCAGGCGTGGGTCCCAAACAGTGTGTTTGCAGCAACGTATGTTAAGCAACCTACTTGGTGCAATCTACGTCGTGTAATTATTTTCTGTTCGCAGTGAATTGTTAAACACACTGCTCGCGCAATCATCCCAACCACCCACTCGCAACTTGGTTCAAAAAAACCATGCGGCGGCGATTGCGATGCATGCTTGGCGTTGGCTGGTGCATCTCCGCGGCCGCACAGCGGCGACGTCACGGCCAGTGACGACGCCGATGCTGATCACGCCGACGACGATGACGGCGTCCTCGCGTCGGCGATGAAAATTTGAAACGAATTCGACATGCGCACTCGGCCGACGCGCGAGACTGGCCCGCATGGTATGATCTGACACGGATATGCCCCCCCAGCACGCGCGCAATGGCGTTCTAATGATTTCGGCCTGCGGCGCGAGAGGTCCGTTAGGCAGAATTCGATGAACATGTTGAATCAACTATGACGTTCATAGAAATTCGCAAAAGCGCATGCGCAGGCTTGCTTGAAAGCTGTCGTTGCGAAGCCCGATGTGTTTTATATGTGTGTTTGGGCACTCGGTTTTGAAATCGCTACGACACCCAAGGTTTTTGACTGATTTCGGCATGTGCGCGCGGCGACGCGCGCGCGTGCACTTCTTTCGGATTCTCGCGACAGCACGAACGAAAAAGCGTTCGAACGCTCTCGACATGCGCGCGCGAAACCAGTTTGGTAGCAGCTTATGGACACGTTGAAGAAAAGCCGGTGGTTTTGCAAAAACCTCGCGAGAGCCTGAGCGCAAGCTTTGTTTGAACCTTCTTCTTGCGAAACCATGTGTTTTCTATGTGCTCGGGACACTCGTTTTTTTATAAAAAAAAAATCCTTACGAAACGTGAAGTTTGGAGGGGTTGCGGCATGAACGTGCGACGGCGCGCGCGTGTGCACTTCCGTCCTTTTTTTGAACAAAAAAATCCGTGGCAACCGATGATTTCTGATCAACGAGTGCGCGCGCATTTTTTCCAGAGGATGTCGGGGGTTGTCGATGCCGGCTTGGCTGGGATAGAATGAACTCATGTTTGAATGGGCGATGGGGCAGACTCGCACGTAAATTGCAATACGAAAAAGTGTTCAACAAAACCCTGGAGGATAATCAAATTTTCTCTAAGAAAGGCGAATCCAACTTACGTTGCGCGATATATATGCTGCACGATCTATGCTGCGCTGAATACGCGGTGCAATCTGCGCGGTGCAATTGATTCTAACAGACAAACTGTCGCACCCCACGCTCGTGCAAACACCCCACCCACCCGCCCGCACTTTGGTTTGCAAAAGCCACGCGGCGGCGATGGCGATGCAAGCTTGGCGTTGGCTGGTGCACCTCCGCGGCCGCGCCAACCCAAGCACGCGCGACCAGCGGCCAGCCATCTGACGCGACCGACGCGGCCGGCGGCGCTGACCGCTGGGCGCGTCACAGTGGGCACTTCAGTTCGAGTTGGCGACTTGGCCGGGCGCGGTACCATGGCAACGTCGACAACGGTAGACACGATGATGATAGTAGCGGTACTGGCGGCGATGATGACTGCGGCGACGGCGCGGCCAGCGCGGGCGCCGATGCTGATCGCGCCGACGACGACGACGTGGTTTTCTCAAGAATTCGCAAATGCGCGAGCGCGCTTTTTTTTTTTTTTGAAAGCTGATGTTGCGAAATCGTGTGGTTTGTATGTTTTTTTGGCACTCGGTCTTGACGCCGCTGCGACTCCGAAGGTTTTTGACGGATTTCGGCATGCGCGCGCGGCGACGCGCGCGCGTGTACTTCGCTCCATTCTTCTGCAAAGGATTATCGCGACGGCGCGCGCGCAAGGGCGTTCGAACGATTTCGACATGCGCGCGCGAAGTGTTATTTCCGACAATTATGAAAAAACAACCCATGGTTTTATTTTGAATTCTAAAGAGCGCGCGCACAAGCTTTTCCTGAAAGCTCGCGTTGCGAAGCCCTGTGTTTATGCGTTTGTTTGGGCACTCGATGTTGGCATGCGCGCGCGACGACGCGCGCGTGCATTTCGTCCTTTCTCGTTGCAAGGAGTTCTTGCATATTCATGATTTGTGGGGAACGAGCGCGCGCGCATAGCATTCGTTGCAGAAGATGGCGGGGGGCGGGGGGGCGATGCCGTTCGGGCCGGCACGGTATGAATTCATATTAGGATGGACGGTGGGGCAGAATCAGATTCCAGTTGCAGCGCGAATCGTGGCGCCGATAATCCCGGGGGGGTGGAGTCGGTTCTCTTCTTGGAGAGGAGAGACTATGTGGTGCAATCCACGCTGTGCAATGTATGCTGTGCAATTGACGCGGTGCTATCTACGAGGTGCGCCCACTCCGCTGCCCGCGCAATCATCCCACCCGCCCACCCACAACTTGGCTTGCGAAACCCACGCGGCGGCGACTGCGCCGAGCGCTTCGCGTTGGCTGGCGCATCTCCGCGGCCGCGCCAACCCAAGCACGCGCGCGCAGCGGCCAGCTAGTTTGGCGCTGCCGACGCAGCCGCGGCGGCGCTAACCGCCGGGCACTTCCCGGCGGGCACTCCAGCGCGAGTCAGCGACTTGGGCGGGCGCTGCAGCATGGCAACGTCGACGACGGTAGACGCAATCACGATGGCAGCGACGCCGGTGACGATGGCGACGACAACGACGACGCGACGGCGCCGATGCCGATCGCGCCGATGACGACGACGACAGCGCCCTTGCGCCGGCGATGCAGGGTCTGGAAGGAGTTCGACGCGCGCGCGGCCGACGTGCGAGAGTGGCCCGCGTGGTATTATTTGACACGGGTCGCGCCCCCATCAGGGCGCGCGCGAGGTCGCTCGAACCATCTCGACGCGCGGCGCGAGAGGCCCTTTCGAGAATACACTGAAAGTTGTTTTTTTCTCCACGCGCGCACGCACGCACGCAGAAACATGCGTTCTTGAAAATTCGGAGGGGCGCGGGCGCAGGCATTCTTGAAAACTGATATTGCAAGCCATTTGTTTTTACGTGCCTTCGGGGCACTCGGTTTTGAAAGCCATGAGCAACGCGTGGAATTTGAAGGATGCCCGCATGCGCGCGCGACGACGCGCGCGCTGTCACATTTGTTGTCGGGGTTCTCGCGACAGCACGCGCGCAAGGGCGTTCGAGCGATTGCACTGTGCGCGTGCCAGAGGCCCGTTTGGTAGCAGATGATGAAAAAGGTGGGGAACCGATGGCTATGTAAAGAATTCACTGTAACCCGAGCGCAAGCATTTCTGATATTCTCGCTGCGAGTACATGCGTTTTTTACACGTGCTCGGGACGCGCGATTGCGAATCCCAACGCAGCCTAGGGTTTTCGAAAGATTGCGGCGCGTGCGCGCGACGGCGCGCGCGCGCGTGCGCTTCGTCGATATTGCCGCAAGGGGCTCTTACAAACTAGTGGTTCTCGAGGAACGGGCGCGCGCGTTGCATTTTTCTAAAGGTGTGAAGGGGGGGGGGGGGGGGGGGGGGCGAACCCACTGGGGGATGGTGCGATCTCATGTTTAGGGGGGGGGGGCGATGGGGCGCACTCATATTAAATTGCACTAGGGGAAAATGCGCAGTGAACCCTTGGGCGAGGGGGGAGGTAGATCCTAATCCCCGCTTAGAAAAGAGACCCGATGTAGTGGAATATATGTTGTGCGATGTATGTTGCGCAGTACGCGTGGTGCGATATATGCGGTGCAGTCTACGGTGCCAGATTGACTTTTGCGAATGAGCTGACACATTCCGTGCTCTTGCGAACATCCCACCCACCCACCCGCAACTTGGTTTGCAAAACCAACGAGGTAGCGATTGCGATGCATGCTTGGCGTTGGCTGGCGCATCTCTGCGGCCACGCCACCCCGAGCGCGCGCGGCGGCCAGCTAGTTTGGCGCGGCCGACGCGGCCGCGGTGGCGCTGGCCATTGGGCACATCCCAGCAGGCACCTCAATGCGAGTCGGCGACTTGGGCGGGCGCGGCATCGCGGCAACGTCGACGACGGTAGACACAGCAATGATAATGGCGACAACGACGACGGCGCGACTGGTGGCGATGCTGACAACGACGACGGCTCGGCCAGCGCGGGCACCGATGCTGATCACGCCGACGACGATTACGGCGCCCTCGCGCCGGCGATGAAGATTCTGGAAAGAGTTCGACAAGCGCGCGGCCAACGCGCGAGAATGGCCCGCATGGTGTTATCTGAAACGGTTAATGCCTCACCAGCGCGGGCGCAAGGGCGCGCGAATGATGTCGGCATGCGGCGCGAGAGGCCCGTTCGGCATAATTCCATGTCAATGCGTTTTATTGCCGGGGTCCATTGGGAACTCATGGTTTTTACAAACGGGCGCGCGCGCATAATAGTTGTTGCAGAAGATGGGGGGGGGGGGGGGGGCGGGAGGGGGGGCGATGCCGGTCGGGCTAGCATGCTGCAAGTTCATTTTGGGATGGGCGAGTGGGGCAGAATCACATCCCAATTGCAGCGCGAAAAGGGGCGCCGATAATCCAGGGGGGGGTCTGTTCTCTTCTGAGAAAGAGTATCAACGCGGTGCAATCCGCGCTGCGCGACGCAGTGCAACTTACGCGGTGCAACCTACGATGTGCGCCCGCTCCACTGCCCGCGCCATCATCCCGCCCATCCGCCCGCAACTTGGCTTGCGAAACCCACGCGGCGACGCGCGCGCCGAGTGCCCGGCGATGGCCGGCGCATCTCTGCGGCGGCGCCAACCCGAGCGCGCGCGCAGCGGCCAGATAGTTTGGCGCTGCCGACGCAGCTTCGGCGGCGCTGACCGCCGGGCACTTCCCAGCGGGCGCTCCAGCGCGAGTCAGCGACTTGGGCGGGCGCGGTAGCATGGCAACGTCGACGGCGTTTGGCGCCGCGATGATGGCAGCGACGCTGGTGACGACGGAAACGACAACGACGACCGCAA